AGGTCCCGAGATCAAATCCTTGGCCCAGCAATCCTGTTTTTTCTCTGTGGTCTTCCTTCGTCCCTCTATGCGAATCCCGGAATAATACCTTAAATTAGGCCACGATGGCTATTAATTTTTTATGTATTTTTGATCCTGTCATCTGACGTCAAGGGTTTCTGGGAACATGGTTAAATTAACCACAGAAAAATTACCATAAATCATTTCATTTGTTGAAATTTATCTGAATGGGATCATCATTTTATAAAAGAATGTGGGTTTTACGTAGTTGCAGAAATAAGTTACGAGGTATTTGTTTTAATGGATATGAACTGTTATTCTGAAGTCTGAAACACATGAAATATTAAGTTATATTATTTTTAAATTCCACTGTAAACTGAACATTTGTATAAAGGAAAATTAAAAATGTCAAGGATATTGATAAATACATGTATTCTTAATTTGTACGTAATACTTTCAACCGAATTATTAGTATCGATTAGCATTTGTAGTTACGTGCTAGTCGAGATAGAGAAATTGCCTATGATTCAGGGGCTGCTTTCATGCCGACTTGTCAGTTTCAACGTGTTCATTTTAATGCACATATATTATTGTAATACAGTGTACAGTTTTTAATATCATATTTTAGTCGAAGAAGTCGTGAATTTAGTTAAATGTGTAGACCTGCTTCGGTAAACTTCATAACGGTTGTTTTTATGGGGTGTTGAGGGAAACGCGAGAGTTGGTTATGGGGGCAGATTAGAAAGTAATTGTCAAAACAGTTAATCCAGCCTGTGCGATTCTGATGTGTCACACTGATTGTACACAGTGATTCCACCGGAACGGTTTTTCGATTTTCATCTTCTTTTGTCTCTTGACACTGACAGAAATATTGCCCCCTCTTTTATGATTCGAGAAGAGAAAATAACTCTGTGCGAAGTCTGACGAATAACAAAAGCGGGAATTAATGGATAGTGTTGTTCTTGCCAAGAGCCGTCTTATGAAGATTGCTGAGTGACAAGGCACATTGTCGTGACCCGCGGAATAATTTTTGCCAAGACTTCTCATCTCTCACTCCCCAAGTTAAAAGCATCTGTCATGTTCCGCACGAAATATCTGGTTGTGCCGCAACTACAAATCATCATCCTTCAGTCACCACGAACGACCGACTCCTCAGTGTGCAGTGCCGATAGGCGATTGCAGTATGTTCACCTTCCTCCGCAAAGTTTTCCTCGAACGAATTGGGATTTCATATCAGTATCAAGTTCGACATCGTCCACTATTTAAAGTATAGACTACCGTTTCAGGAGTTAGCTTTATTCTTGCCTTCACGTAGTTTGTTGTCACGCTGACACATTTTTATATATAATATTAGTGGCGATGATTGGTGTGGGACTCCACATATCTTCAGTATTAGGCCAGGACACTAGCCATTGAGGATGAAATTGTATGAGTTGCTTCATATCCAATGCCCAGAGGCATCTTCAGGGTGAAACTAGCAAGTGCATTGGAAATATTTGGATGGACACTTACGAAACGCCTAATCAGGTTAAACTGTCGAACCAAGTACCTCCAGAATAAGAAGTAGGTATTTTGGCATTTCGACTGAGACTTTCGGGTGTCTTGTATCGGACTGGCAACTACGAAATCGTAGCGTGTCTTCGTTCGAAAATCGGCATTTTACTACGCCGCTCCTTGTAGCGCGTGGTAAATGACTATTGTGACACTTTTGTGTAACGTGGAACTAATGAGATCAAAGAGGAGCTCATTGTAAAGCGCAAACAGTGCGTACAAACTTTGTTCCTGGAATCCTTGACTTAAGATACGAGACTACCAAGCCTTTGTCTGTTTACGACCTCGTTTCTCTTTCTGGTCTTCTGTTTCTCCGAGTTTCGTGCATGTTCGTCCTCTTCTCATATTCGCGTACTCTTTTTATGACTCATTGTTCTTTAGGGTTCTCAGTGACATTTAGCAACAACTGTTTACTTTAGTTTGCATTGCACCATATTCGTAATATCTGCAAACATGTTCCACGCGTTTCCTCTTGATCTCATGATGGTGGCGAACGTTTCGGAGAAACCTCTTCTGTCTCCATTTTTAGGGCCCTGAAGATTTTCGACAATGTTTGTCCGAATCGCGTTCACTTACCTACGAATCTTCAATGCGTCACAACGCTGAACAGCTTCCTCATCCTCGCCTCCGTGAAAACC